AGTGGCGATAACCCTGCTCGTCAGAAAGAGTGTCTAACCCAATGAAGCCATTTCGGCCCTCGTGATAAAGACGCAGGGTGTGCACAACCAAGGGATCTGTAGGGGTTCCTGATGACTTTGGTCGTTCTTTCTCCTCGTGCAGCGGAAAAATATCCCATTCACTAAAAGGGCCCAATAACGGCTGAGCCATTCTTCCCCCTCCCGAGCGGTTTTAATAAAAGACGGGTTTTGCTGGTTGAAAAGGAAGCTGCAAAAGACACTGCCCTCGCCTCTTTCCTCTTACTTCTGCCTCTCTCTCCTGCTCCACTCGATCTGATTCGTGCACGGCTGCTGTTTTCTGTCGATGGATAGATGCCTCCTGGCTAACCTATATTCTTTTCGTTTGGATTTAACTTCTCCCCGCACGAGTTTTTCCCATGTCTCGAGTGCACAGCCAAGATGGAAAGCGTAAAAGGGGGAAGAGAATATAGATCCAACAACGATCACCCGGCACTTGCCTAGCTGGCTCGCTGGCTTGTCGCCTTAGCTCGCCGAGTTGTACCTTTTTTCCAATGCCTACGGCAAGTATAAGCTGGGAGGAGTTGTTTCGCTGCGCTAGATGTTACTCTGGTTATTACAGCACTCGCTAGAGGGATTGCAATTACGACACACTAGGTACGAGTGGACGAGCAGCACGACGGCTGAGGCGTTTGAAGCATGTATGGGTGGTCGAGCAGCGATAGCCCCTGGCCTGGTCGTAATTGGAAATTTGGATAGACAGCCTGGTGTTCATACGCCACTAAAATGGGCACAGAATAGTTCTTGTGATCAAGCGTGCCGTTTTCAATAGATTGAGTAGAGAGGAGGCAGCGAAATTCATATTAGTATAAATCTGGAAAACTCAAAATTTTTAATATTCCTGTCACATTTTATTATTTATATTTATAATTTTCAATTATTATTTAATATTTGTCATAAAACGAGCCCTCTCCCGAAAACGGTTTAGAGTCTAGCTTCTTTTTTGCGCACAGAGTATATTAACAGCCAAGGTCGTCCAGCTCTGGGTTGCCGAACCCACTATCCTTCTCCCAAGTTCCCTCTGATGAAAAGTCTGCAGACCAGAGCGACTGGTGCATCTTGCAAAGAGTGCAGACGAGTGAGTACTGATCCCTGTCATCAACCTCCTCATCGAGTGATAGCCGTGACCCGTATGCGACATTGAACTGACGATCTCCCCTTCACTCCCCTCC